CCCNCCCNCCCCCCCCGTCATCGGGATCTCGTGTCACGGCCTTTCGTTCGGACGGTGTTGGGGCCATGTAGAGGCAGTATATATGTCGGGATCACCCCTCCCGTGGCCATCTTCATTCTTCACTCGCTTCACTGGCTGCAGAAATGCGACGAGGAAGAAGTTGCCTCCTGGTAAACGAGTATTTGGTCATTTCTCTGCACCGGCACTGGCCCAACACCGAACCGATGGAGGAAATTCGGTATAGGGGGCGCACAAAGACACGTCGGCCCACCACTACATGTTTTTCTAAGCTAGGTACTTGGCACAAATACTCCTAATCACGGGCATCCATACACGGCATTTGTTCACAATAGAAGGCATGGGACTGTGTGCGCGAGCTTGGCGGAACAGGCTCGATAGTTAACTGAATGAACCTGACCTTTTCCCCTTAGCCGACTGGCCAAGCCCGACTCATCGACGTGTGCTACACTGGAACAAAACGAAAAGGAGCAAAACTGGCAAACGAGAGGCGACAAAAACGACAAAAAAAGCAACAAAAACAGCAAAACAGCAAAACAAGCATCGCCAACAACAAGGTCCCTTTGGTCTGTGGCCTAACGTGTTGGGGCTTCGACCTCCTGCTCGGCCTCCCCAGCAAAGCCACTCTTGCATAAAGCAGGTACCGCTACCGCCTTTGGCTTAAGCGGCCTACTCGTCACGCTTGGGGAGGTTTTGCATTATCCGCGGGTAAATAAATAAAACGGCGGTTTTGCTTTTAGGTAAACGGGTTACAAATTGGGCGTTTTTATCGGTAGCGTTGCGCTTAATTTTATAAACGTATTTTGTTAGGGGAAGGATTTTATTGGCGAAGCTTTTGAGGGCGCGGGCTTTGAGCTAGGCGTTTTTGTCGGCAACGTTGCGCTTAATTCTGTTAACGTACTTTGTTATTGCATAGGGAGAAACGCCGGGGTGGGGAAGGACCTTGTCGGCGAAGCCTCTAAAGGCGCGGGCCTCAAGCTGGGCTGACTCTTCGGCCTCCTCATCAAGATCGCGCTTCTCGTTGTTACCCATGATGGCGTCCCAGATCTTCAGGCCCGCCTTGACGCCGCCCTTGAAGCTGCGACGAGGGTCGCGGGCCTCGACGGCGTGCCTCCAAAGCTAATCTTCCCTGCCCGCACTGGCCTCTGTCCTGCCCGTTGAGAGTTTTCGCATGTAGGAATCAACCCCGGTAGATGTCACCATGTTGGTATGGTAGACGGGGGGCCGGAGCGGCCCTACTTCGATTGGCGGCTCGTGGCAATGACCGATCGCACCTGGGGTATAGACAGAGCAACGGCAACACTTTGAAATGGAGCAGGAATATCCCTGGGCGTTGGGAAAGTCAATATGGACCGGTTCGTGCCTTGTCACGATGCCTAGAGGCTTGAAGATGGACAAGGGACTCCATTTCCTGCCCGCCGCCCTGACCCTGTTCGACAAACCTAGATTCCCGTTTCCAGGGAAGGAGGTATGAGGCGGTGTCTTGCATCTAACGTCTAAAATAAACATCTGACCATTTACTCAGGATGAGACTTGAGGCCTGGCAACACATGCAACGATAGCTGCGAGTCTCTCCCGCGCTTCCTTTCCCAGCTAGCCTTTTCCCACCACGCCAAAAAAAAAACCCCCCTCAAAACTGGTGTATCTGCCCCTTGGCAAAGCCCAAGGCCCCGAGCACGCCGCCGTCGGCGCCCTTGGTCAGCGCCTTCTCCATGGCGGGCGGGCCGCAGACCAGGACCTTTGTGTCCCCGGCGGCAGCTTTTTCGCCGCCCGGCGGCACGACGCCGGCCTCGCGCAGCAGGTCGCCCGTGACGTAACCCGCCTTGTGCTTGCCGGCGCTCCCGGGCTTGCTGACGACGTAGACGGCCCTGAAGCGGCCCGGGTGCTCGGCGGCCAGGCGGTCGAACTCGTCGGCCAGGAACAGGTCCCGGTCCTCGTTGACGCCCCAGACGAGGGTCAGGCGCGTGCTGTCGGCCGGGTCGGCGAGCACGTGGCGCGCGAGCTGGTACATGGGCGTGATGCCCGCGCCGCCGGCCACCATGGCGACGTGGGTGTGCTTGTTGCGCGACCACTTGTAGCCCGGGATGGGCATGAAGTAGACGTGCTCGCCGGGCTTGAGATTGTGCATGGCCGTGCTGCCCTTGCCGTCGGGGTAGTGCTTGATGAGGTATTCAACGTAGCCTTTTTGGTCTGTAGGGACATTTCGGAGTTGTTTAGTTTTTGTTTCCATACAGCAACATTACAGTCACCGAGACACTGGGATCGCAAGAAAAGAAAGAAAGAAAAAACGCACTCAGATCGCTCACTGGCGTGTAGGGCCTGGGCACAGGCACCCACGACCCGTTGGGGAAGGAGACGGTGAGCGTGGCCGAGGTCAGGCTCAGGCCGCTGACGGCGTCCTTGTCCGGGAGCTCGAACCGCAGCCGCTTGGTGTTGTGGTTGATCAACTCGGCGCTGTGCAACCGCAGCGACTTGAGCGGCGGGAAGCCGCCAAAGAACTTTGCCGACCCGTCGTCGGCCCTGACGGGCGGCTGGCTCCGCAGGTAGACGCCGTACGCGCCCGCCGCGACCACGGCGGCCGCGGCGATGTACATGTTTGTGCTCATGGCGGGCCTCGGGTGCGGTGCTGCCGCTGCTGCTGTTATTGGCGATGATGATGTCGCAGCCGCGGGTCTTGTTGCTGCTGATGCTACTTTCCTGGCGGCCAGGCGGGCTGCGGACTGGAACATGCTGGGGAGAAGGAAGAAAGAAGGGGGAGGGCGGAGGTGCACGGTGGCGTAGTGCGGGCTCGGAGCACACTAAATATCGTTGCGCCGCGCGCGCTTCGGCGAAGAGGGAGGGGGGACTGTGGTGCGGCCGAGGGATGATGCGGATGCAGGCAGGGGGGCTCGGGGATCCGGGAGAAAAAGGATATGCAAGCGCTGTGCTTCCCCTTATCTGCAGGGCGGCCTTTATCACACACCCAATAGGCTGGCAGGCGGATAGTATCGACACGGACTGAGGGGGCGGGGTGACGGGCGGCCTTGTGTGTTTAGTCTGGCGCGGTGCGGCGCGGATCTGCTTGGTGACGTCCCTCTTGGGGCGGGGTAGTCGGAGGTCGCGTTTGGGGAAGTCCCGACGGCTGGGCTGGCCGGCCTGGGCGCTTCGTATCTGTCTAGCTTTGGTATTTGCGGGATGGCTGGAGCTGGCTGGGCATGGCCAGTGGCTGTCTCGGATCAACATGGCCAAGTGTCTTTATACAGCGCATCAATGGGAATAAAAGCAAAGTATGCTGTGTGTTGGCGACTTGTCGGCGCCACGGGGTTTGCGGAGTGCCGATCTCCGCCCAACAGCATCGAGGCTCGTTTCGGTCTCAGCTCGTGCTCCGGAGGGATTCTAGCAGCCCACTAATCTCGGGTTTGTCGCATGTAAGCTGGGCTGATGGAGGCTGGCCTTGCATGCAAACTGGGCTGATGGGGGCTGGCCTTGCATGCAAGCCGGGCGGCATCTTTCGATTTCCAGGAACCGGCACTACTGCCTCGGGAGCATCGCCAAACTGACAACAAATCAACCCTTGAAGCCCGGGACCGAGCTTGGTTTTCTCGTGCTTCAGGGCCGATCGAGGCTGGCGTCGTCGGCTCCATGCGCGTCAGCTAAGCTCCTGTTTTTTTCGCCCTGCGCACTTTTAAGCTTCGTGCCACCACCCAGTCGCCACATCCAGCCCTGCTGCGTCTGACAATCCGGCCCTGCTTTAAAATCGATCGCTCAGAATCTCTTCGCTCCCACCCCCCGTGCCCCGTCCGTCCCGGCCATCATCCTGGGAGAGTGCGTGGGGAGGCAGGTCTGGGGGTTGAATCTACCGTACGAAACGTGTACTGCTCCATCGTCGCGATCCAGCGATCTTGGCATTTGAGGCCGTTGGTCTGCCGTTGGGGAAAAGCGAGTGATGGGCACGCTGTTGTCGCCGGCTGCCATGTAGCAGCAGCCATGAAGCCATGGTGGCCTACATCCCATCGACAAACATTCTCAAGACCTACAGGGCGGTTCGTTGCCCGCCGCGCTGCTGTCAAAGGGAGAGGGCGTGACTGGCAACAGTCAGGGCTCATGCTCATCAAACCCGGGATATGCCCGCCGTCGCGGCGCGGACCGTGATCTGGCGCCAAGGCCACCCCCTCCCCCTTCTCCCTCTGCCGTTTCCCCCGCTTCGTCGATTCGTGCGTCTGCTGCTCGCATCTTCTCGACACCCTTCGATCCCTCTGCCTTGTCGCCGCACGGGCAGGGCCATCGGATGGCCTGCAATGCAATGGATGATAGGCTTTGGCAGCTGCCGAGGTTGCGCTGTGTGCTAAAGATAGGAGCCGGGTCTGGATATTTGCATTGATGACCCCCACCCTCCCGCGGTGACGGGAATTCTTGCAGCAACGCGATACCGATCACTTGCTCCGTCCGAGGACGCCAAGAGGGACGAGAGATGCCACTCGGCCGGCTTCTGTGCTATTTCTTTCACCTTCCCTGCTGCCATCTCACTCGGGAAAATATATTTGGCTTTCTTATTTCGGCGCGAATCACCCAAGCTTGCCACCGGATTTCACTTGTCGCCAGTCCGGCTACTGGCTTCACAGGTTGCGCAGTTTACCGGTCCTGACACCAATCCGCGAGCCCAGACGGCGGCCTATGCCGAGTTCGCAGCAGCCATGATACCGCTGGCGTCTCTGCTGGGGCTGGTCCCCTACATCTGGGCCGACCTGCTCCACGGATCGCTCGCGGCTCAGGAGCCTCTAGGCAGGGTAGAGTTCGGAGCCGTGAACGAAATACCTGGAGGGGTAGGACTATCCGCTCTAGACAACCTTTTGGACGCTCGACTTCCTGGACGCTAACGCCATGCCTAACTCGGCTCCTCCGCTCCCAGATGCAAGGAAAGAAGCTCACATTCGCCGACGGCCTAAGCCTCCACATCCTTTCGCCGACCCCGCGCGCCATTACCGTCCGGCGGCGGGCGCTGCCCAGGACGGGCGCGTCGGCGGCATACGGCGTGGCGGGCTACGGGCCCGACGCCTTCGCCCCGCTCGCGGACCACAGCTACCTCGTCGACGTCAACGACACGGCCGCGGACCTGGCCTACGCGCGCGTCGAGCTGCCCCTGGGCCCCCGCGGCCGCGCCTGGCTGGACGCCGAGGGAGGCGACGGCGACGGCGGTGGCGTCCACGTTGGCAAGCGCGCGGGCGCCGGCTGGTGGGCCGTGGACCCGACCCGCACAGGCGCCTGGGCAGTGCGGCTCGGGTCCGTGGC